ACTGTGAAAATTTGTAGCTGAGACAACTGAATCAGGTAGGGCATTCCAAACAACTCTATTACAGAAACCATATTTTTTACAGTCGAGTTTAGAACAATTTACATTGAGTTTAAAGTGGGTTTCATGCATGTATTGTTGTGATTAAAACAGAAAAAGTCGTTTACAGGTAAAACATGACTGTGTATAATTTTGTATGCAATACCTAGGTCTGACTACAAGCGATGCTGTTCTAAGTTATCCAAACTGAAAATTTTGAGCCTAGTAGCATAAGTAATTCTATTGTGTACAGAAGAGTGCAAGACTTTTCTCATGAAGTACTTCTGAACCCGGCTGATTGTACTGATTTCAGATATATGGAAGAGATTCCAAACTGTTGAACAATATTCTAAAATTGGTCTAGCATACGTTTTATAAGCATTAATTAACAATACAGTGTTTCCAGAAAAAACCCTTCACAAAATTAAGTTTACAACTTTTAATGCTTTTTTAGCAATGCTGTTCACACTGAGCTTTGGAGCATAAATCGTCTAGTCCTTAACAAAGTGGGATTCATCTGCTAGATCAATGCCACCTAGCTTATTCTTGACATTCTGATAACGTTTACCAATATGTAAGACAGAGCATTTATTAATCAAAATTTGAAGTTACCAAATAGATGACCATTCAGACACACAGTTGAGATCACTTTGCAGAATTACCTGTTATACTTTCTAAGAATTATACTTGCTGAGAATTCTAGGACCCCAATAAATCTAAAAGGCTGGTGATTGGAGAAAGCTAGTTTGGAAGATGAGTAGCGGAAACTAATTGTTGGGGAATTAGCGAGAGTCTAAAACAGGTAATAGTTTATGCTGTTTTATATTACAGAGCAGTACACTCTGCAACTCTGTACTGCTTTATAGTACATGCACTCTGTTTCTCAACCTTGGTAACTTATGGACTTCAACTCCCAGAATTCCGTAGTCTGCCTGACTGGGGAATTTTGAGAGTTGAAGTCCATACATGTTAAAGTTACTGAGGTAGAATAACACTGAACTGAGACCATTATTAAACTCTTGAAGAAGGGATTGGGTATGTTAATCAGACATAAAGTTTACACTTTATGTAATGAAAAGAAAGAGCTAGATAATGGTATCACCATGTATTTCAGTCCAGATTTAAAGTAAGTATTTCATGTATTACATATTTTTTTTACAGATAATCAAAGAGTATTTTATTCTTTGCAATAGTGATCACATCAACTTCTATTTGAAAGACCTCAGTTTCATTCCATTGGTGAATATCTAAATGTTTTAAAACTTTCAATATTTCAATATTTTTAAAGGTGACAGAATCAAACTGAATAATAGCCTTAAAACCATCTCAAAAACATTTATGCAACCATATTTCAATGCACAATTTGCTATATTCTATGGCAAAATTGAACTATTGTTGCTGTTAAACAAACTAACAAATATTAAAGTGGTTATTTGTTCATTTCTTCATCATATTTCTACACCACCCATCTCACCTAAGTGGCTCAGGGCAGTTTACAATAAAAAAAATATATCATAAGATCAAAGCATAAATAAGAACAGAATTAAAATCAGAATTAAAAGGTCAGGGTTAATATATTAAAAGTTAAAGTGCTCAAAGATGGAGAGAACATTCTCATGACACCATTTCCAAGATTGCATATCACTCTTTGATTCCCATGCTAATTGGAAAAGCCAGGTCTTAACACTCTTTTTGAAGGCCAGAAGAGTAGGGGGTCACCTCAACTCTGGAGGTAAAGTGTTCCCGTGGGCAACAGCAGAGAAGATTATCTTCTTGAATCCCACTAGTTGAAATTCTTTAACCAATGGAATCTGTAACATACCCTCTCTGCCTGACTAAGTGGGATGGGACAATGTAACTGGAATGAGATGGTTCATCAGGTAACTTAGCCTCATGCCACAAAGGACTTTAAAGGTGATAACTGTCATCTTGAATTAGAACTGGGAGCAAAGTATCACCCAATGCAACTTGCATAGCAGAGGTTATATTTGTGCAATCTAAGATTGCTCACATTGCTACATTCTGCACCAATTGCAATTTCTGGATAGTCTTCAAGAGCAGCCCCACATGGAACTGATGCACAAGATGAAGTTTATTTATTTATTCATGTATTTTATTTAGTTTGTCAAACATGAACGACATAACAGGTATAAGCATAAATATGGGCATGAACACATGAAATGACTCCAAATATATGGGGACAGTAAGACAGGGACGGTAGGCACGCTGGTGAGCTTATGCACACTCCCTTACAGACCTCTTAGGAATGGTATGAGGTCCACAGTAGACAGTTTAAAGTTGAAGCTATGGAGGTTTGAGGAAATAACAATGGGTTAGGGCCTTCCTAACTGTGACTATCATTTGCTCCTTGAGCAGGAGTTGTGAATCCAAGAGGACCCCCAGATTACCCATCAGGTCTATCTGTGGCTGTGTAAGTCCATCTAGAAACAAAGATCATAAACCTCCAGTTTATAAAAGAGTCTTCTCCCATGGCACTCCTTACCAGGGTTCAGTTTAAGCCTATTGTTCCCCAACTCAGACCCTCACAGCCTCCAAGTACTGCAAAAGGGCATCCACAGTTTCACTTACTTCAGCCAGGATGAAGATATATATCTTGGTTTAATCAGCATACTGGTCATAGCTCATTTTGGGGCAATGTATGATCTTATTTGATGGCTTCATGTAGATATTAAGCACCGAGCCCTGAAGCATTGCACAAAACAGGGTTGGACCTCTTGCTCTCTGACAACAACAACTGAGACTGTCCCAAAAGGAGGTGAACCAGCACAAAAACTATGCCCCCATTTCCAACTGGCGAAGCCTGCCCTAAATGATATGTTTGGTGATATCAAAAGCCACCCAGTGGTCAAGAAGAGCCAAGATGGATCCACTATTCCCTAATGGTCCTGCCAGAGATCATCCAAAAGCATGACCGATACTGTTTCCATCCCGTATTTGGGACTGAAACCTGACTGGAAGGGGTCCAAATAATCTGTCTTACAGATCCTCTGGAGCTGCAGAAAGACTGCCTTCTCAACCACCTTTCCTAGGAGGGAAAGATGGGCAACTGAACAAAAATGAAGAATGGTAGGGTCCAGTGATGAGTTTTTGAGAATAGGATATACCAGCGGCTCTTTAAATAGAGCTTAACATCCTCTCACTAAGCCTGCATTAACTATCACTAGATACACTTGCATGTCATCCCCTGAGCGACCTCTACCTGCCAGGAGGAGGTATGGATCCAAATCCAAGGTGACTACACTTATAATCCCAAGAACCCTAACCACTTTTCTCAGATCCAACAGGATCAAACTTTCCCCAGATAACTAGGTAAGAAATTCCCAAGGTATCTCCAATGGACTTGCTCCATGTTTGATCCCTAATTGAGAATGGATTTGAGTGGTTTTATCCACTAGGTGCATTGAAAATTCTTCAGCTCAACCTTGAAGATAAACCTCAGAATCCTCTTTACTCAAAAGGCAATAGGCGACCATAAACAGGGCCACTGATGGTGCTTTGCAGATGCAAGAAGAGCAGAGAAAAACTGACATTTCTTCACTCTTAATGCTAGGAGGTAATTCTTAATAGAGCTCTAACTTATGATCAATTGAATTCATCCCTTGTTTTCCTGCATTGGGGAACATGTCAAATTCTCTTTTTAAATTAAAATCTTCTGGCTGATCGGGAGTTGGTTGGTAGACATCTATTTAAGCCCACTGATTTCACATTCAATATGGCACTGGCAATATATGGCTTTACCAAACTATAACAATACATCTATTCTGAACATTAAATACATCAAATATCACATCAAAAACACATTATCAAAACACATTACATTTTATCCATTTTTCTTGCACTGTTATTATGGCAGGATAATTCATGGCCATCATTTGCAAGTGTGTGTGTGTGTGTACACACAAACATATATATATATATGTAGGTCTTTGGTTATTCGGGTTTTCTCCCGCGTAACCTCAGAAAACAAACAAATATATATATATATACACACACACACACACACACACACACACACACACACAAAAGCTTCCATAGATATATATTAGCTTCCATAGATAATTATTATTTTATTTATTAGATAAATTTAACCTCATATTAATTTTATATGATAATTAATGGATCACAGTAAAACTATATTAGAAAACTTGGTAATTTTTGAGAATGAACTAAATATCTGGAGATGAGCATTCAAAACTATTGCCAGTATAGGTTCCATAGCTACTGTACTTTTCGCAGTATAAGATGTACCTTTTTCCCTCAAAAAAGAGGGTGAAAATCTGGGTGTGTCTTATACACTGAATACATCATTTTGGCCTATCGAAACTCCGCTCCCTTTACAAAAATGGACGTGTAGAGGGAGGGTTGCAAAGTCCTCCTAAGGGCTGGGGAGAGCAAAAATGGGGGCGTGGTCCAGCCCCTAGGACCACTCTTCAAGCCTCCCAAAGTCTCTACATGCCCTCTCTTTTTTTGCAAAAAAACAGCCCATTTTTTGCTCGTCCCCCCCCTTCCAGCACTCTTAAGAGCCTCCCAAAACTCTGCATGCCCTCCCCCCCCAAAAGCAAGCCATTTTTGCTTATTTTTTGTGGGGGGGGGCAGCCCCCAGGAGCACTCTATAAGCTTCCCAAAGCTCAAAATGAGGCTTGCAGAGGGTTTGGGAAGCCTGCAGAGTGCAAAAACTTCTGTTTTTTAAATTTACTTCTTTAAAATCATGGTGTGTCTTATACTCCGGTATGTACTGACAGAAGTAACACTAACTTAGGAGAAAGTTGAATTTGAAGCTACTAGCAAGTTATACAATATATGTGCGCAGAAACAAATGCTGTTTAAAAAAGGTACGGCAAATACAAAGAAAAAGTTGTAGATAGCAGTACACTAGTTTCTATTGAGTTATTCTGTTAATTCACATGAGCCATTCACAGAGAACATTCTCTGTCCACACTTACCTGACCTAGAGATGGAAGAGTTCCATAAGCTACTGGCTGGTTCATCATTCCTTTCTGCTTCAAAATAAGCATGCGCTTCTGCTCCTCACTCAAAGGTGTCATTTGAGCCTGAATTGGTGGCTGTTGGGGAATCTGTTGCTGCTGCTGCATATATGGCATCAAAGGACTCTTGTTGGAATTGGACATTGGTGGAGTCATCCTTTGACTAAGATCAGCATTGAAATGAGACAGAGGTTTAGTGTTGCCATAAGAAAGCATATTGCCTTGTTTGCTCAAAGAGTTTGTACCCAGATTATTTGGCTGCTGACTAATCATATTGATATGGTTTTGAGGGAGGTAGTTATTTATTGTAGTCTTTTGTGAGTTGTTTGCCGTGGGAGGCACTGCAGGATTTTGGTTGTTAAAGGCTTGGGGGTACATCATTGGGCTATTTGGTTTATCTGTACTGAAAGGTCCTCCATAAGGACTAGATGGAGGCCCCACTGGCGACCAGCTAGATACTTGATTTGGATGCTGTGGCGGCTGTTTCTGCTGCATCAGCTTAGCCCGCTGTTGCTGCTGGGCTGCCATCTGCTTCAACTGCTCAGCTGGAGACAAGTCAGTGCTAGTCACAGTTACTTGGCTAGGCCCTGGGCCTGCTGTTGTCACTGTTGTTGGATTCATGTGGAAACTATTGCCTGTTCGTGACTGAGTTTGGTTTGAAGGATGAGCTTGGTTGGGAGTCTGAGGGGACTGAACCACATAGTTTGCTAGTGAACTATCCAGGCTTGGAGCCGGAGGACCATTAGATCCTGCAGGGAGGCTGGGACCTGTAGGGATATTTGAAAATGGTGGCCCTGATGATGACGGTCTTACCTGGGGAGAGCCTGTTGGTAGGTGAGCAAATGGAGAGTGACATGGATCACTTTTAACACTGGCAATCTCCTGAATCTCTGTGGCTGGTCTCGGAAATTCAGGTTCCTTTTTCTCTTCAAAGTCTTCATTGAACAAATCTTGTATATCATCTTCTGGAACAGTGTTAGCTAGCTCGTCTATTAATTCCTGCCACTCCTGATCATTCAGGTTAATGTCTGAGAAGAGTTTATTCTGATTGGAAAGGGATGTGTCAGAATTGTCAGTGCAGTTGGGATCATCCAAGGGCTCTTGTTTCAGTTCTTTGTTGCTGTTACTATTGTTGGGCAGAATGTTAAAACTATCTTCAAGCTCGGTACATCCATTGATTGGGAGTTTTAGGTCAGAAAGTCCACCATTTTTACCTAAGTCTTCCAGGGTACCCTCATGAGTTCCACTGTTTTGCAGTGGCAAAGATGGCTTCAGGTCAAGCTGGTGAAGAGGAGAAATAGAAGACAAAGGCAAATTGTTTGGCAAACTATTGACTCTCTCAATCCCATGTACATCTTTCCGTATCCGCTTATTAGTTGGAGAGAAGCTTCTGTCACAGACACCATTCTGCTGTTCTCCATTGAGGGGTGAGCGTGCTCCTTCTAATTTTCTCTTCACTGTCTCTTGAAGCTTGAACAGAAAAGAAAAAGAAATTAATTCAATATTTGTCCATTTCTATCTTTAAAAAAATCATCATAACTGTATACAGGAAGTTTTACTAATTTATTATGACATGTAAAGACTGTTGTTTCAAAACATTTTGGGTTGGATTTCTAGACATTACTTAAATTTATTGGAATAATACAAAACTTTAGAGACACGATTTCTTCTCACAGATGGATGTGTATCTTTGGCAATGAGGATTATTGCATTATTATAATTAGCTATAAGCTATTCTAACATATTAACCAGAATGAAGCGGTAGACTGGAATGGAGCCACTTTTTCAATGTCATATTTCAAACACAAAAAAATTACCATATCTAGTACCATGACTGAGAGGTTTATCCTAGCCATCTCCATAATATATCCATTTGCTATGTAAGTAGGAAACTTCCAGAAAGCAGCCTTATGCAACTGTCTCACATGTTATGTAAAGAAGCACTGTTGAAAATTTCCCATTGCACTTTAATTTCAGGAGTTTTTATACCAAGGATTTTAAAAATACACTATTATAACACCACAATTATCTGTTTTGCCACATGTTGCTAGGTGAAACCAATAAACAAAATTAAACAAATAGTCCTCAGCGCAACAGTTGTTATTTGAGAAGCATTTTTCCTACTTCAGCTTGCAAGAAAATCTAGTGATTAATCCCAATATACTTTCCTTTTCATTATATACTGTACATCAGTTACAATATATACACTATAATGGAACATTTCCCAAGATAATGCATTGAATAATCAAAGCAAGTACTTACTATATTGAATAAACTGCACAGCCAATTGTTTACTAGTAAAAATGCGCAGACCACCTCAGCCAAATTAATCTGGATGAGAAAAAATAGCTAGGATAAGGTAGGCCATATTGCCATTTCTCCCCAATGCAACCTGCCCTTCAGATAGGGTTTATATTTATTGTTTCTTCCCCTTTCAAATGCATGATAGACATAAAAGTACTTCATGGAACCAATTCAAGAAGAGTGCAGGTTTTATGTAAGAAGTTCACTGAGTTCCCATCCCTTTATTTTATGTAAATTCACCATATTATCATCTGAACATTCAGTAAATTATCAATCAATACTGTAGTGCCTCTGAGCAATGTGGTAAATGCCCAGGTAATGCCCAGGAGATCACACAATATTTTTTTCCCCAAAATATATAATTGAACAGGGATGTGCAGTCACTAGAGGCAGGGGAGGCGGGGCCTCACCAGTCTTCTCAGGAAAAGGAAAGAATTTTAAAGAATTTTTTAAAAATAATTAAAGCCAAGGTAGTTGCTACCAGACTCCAAGTCACAGTGACTTGGATTCTGCTTAGTGTTAACTGTAGGAGGAGGCGAGAGAACTATGGGCCTCCTTTGCATAAGGAATTTTTCGCCTTTTAAAAGTTAAGCAAGAGTTAAAAAGCAAAAAATTTCATATGCAAAGGAAGCCCATAGTTCCCTCGCCTCCTCCTACAGTTAACACTAAGCAGACTCCAAGTCACTGTGACTTGGAGTCTGGTAGCAACTACCTTGGCTTTAATTATTTTTAAAAAATTCTTTAAAATTCTTTCCTTTCCCTCAGGAGACTAGTGAGGCTCCGCCTCCCCTGCCTCTAGTGACTGCACGTCCCTGGTAGGTAGGTAGATGTTTCCAGGAATATTTATCCAAGTGCTGGAGAAGGAAACTGCTGATAATCTGCAGCACCTAACTTTGTTTCTGCTGGCACAGCATTGATCAATGTAATTCTCATCAATCAGAGCATACAAAACCAATAAACCTAAACCTAGCCTAATCTATATGGTCTACTGGTGGGACCTACAGCATCTTAGGCAAGAAGGGGTCATCCCTGTGAAGTGAGGCCTCATGGGACCCAAATTGTGCAGTCCACTGGTCAACTGGACAGTATTTTCTGATATATTTGCCTCAAGCAATTTTGA